AATTTTTACATATTATTTATAACAATATATATTTTTAGTACAAAAATATGATAATAATAAACTAAAATATCCACAGGATAATCGATATATCAGTATATACCAGAAGATAAGTATTCTTTATGTTTATATAGTAGTCTATCATAGAGCTACCAAATTCTTAGATTATATTGTTAATAACAGCAAAATATTAGAATATTTTGATATCTTATTTTTAGTACTAAGAGTGCTAAGAGAAGATATCAGGATATCCAATATTTTACTATTATATTACTGATATCAATCTAGTTATTTGGCAAATCTATAGTAATCTACCATGTACATAACAGAAAACTTGTCTCCCGGTATATACACAGCAGTATCTAAAATTTAATTTTTAATTTAGTTACAGACCTGCAACTAAATAACAAATCTACTTGCAGATTATATGAATTTAGTTGCACATATGAACATTTCTATATGCAAATTCGAACATACCTATATGCAAATTCGGAAATTTTATTTGCGGAACTGCATATGCATTTCAGATTTTAATTGCAGAAACTTATAAATAGTATGTTGTCTGCAACTCAATTTCAGACACTAGGTACATAGTATGAATTAATTTAACCCATGACTATACCTTATTTTCCAAAATGCATTTTTTTAAAATGAATTGAATAATACTGATCTTCTCTACTATTAATCGCTTGTTTTATAGCATCTGGAGTTCTTGGAATTATTTTCTTCAAATTTGTATTATTTAAGTCATCTTTTGAAACTAAGCACTTTGCACATGACTGTCTTGAGGAAGATGATTAATAAACGTTTGTAAACTTATTGGCTTCAACCATGTCCACAATAATTATAAATATATGTAGAATAAAAGTAATTATATCTCTATGCACGACAAAGTGAAGCTCAGGCCCTTTGACAATGGGCTTGGAAAGAGTCAACAAACACTTCTGGAAGACTTCTCTTTGGACCATTCAAAATTTATCAGAGTTTTTTGTTAAAAAATCTATGGCTTTCAAGATCGGAAGGTATCCAATTAATGCTTTTGATTCTGATTTATTTCTTTGGTGATTGGGAATATTTCGAAGCGATAAAAACATAGGATGCCCAAAAGATTTTCCTATATAGTCCAGGGTTGTCATATCTGAATAAAGTATAAGTGACAGCAAATACTGCCCAAGGAGTAAATCTGATTTTTCTCGCTTCCACCAATTACTATAATATTGTTTTCTGAAGATTTTACACTCTACACCATTCCTTACTTCTTTTTTATCTTTATATTAAAGAACCAGTAACTGATTAATACTATTGATCATTAATAAAGACTTTATAGTCTTTATTAATAATCGATAGTAAAATACATATTCAATGTTTTGAAACGTTTTAACAGGAACTTCCTTAAACATCATATAAGGAACAGTAGTGTCATCAAGAAATTCCTTTCCTGCCTTTGTTGATGATGGAAGTGGCGAAATATCCAAATTTGAGAATTTATTGAAAAAGGTTATAAAAGCATCACCAGCTGAATTTGATAGCTGATATTTATTAATAATCTCCATAAATTCACAATATGCATCGTTAGGGTATTCGACAGTTTGTGAGTAATACAAGTCCTGAAAAGCTTCATCAAATGAGGCCTCTTCGTAGTTTTCAAGACCTATTTCATATGACTCAGTTGCAAATGATATATCTTCATAGTCTTTGATATCACTTATATTAAATGTATTTTAAGATGCATCATATTATCTATTTGATAAAGTTCTGCTTTTATAAAAGAATGCACATACTCAACTGAGCTTTCAGATATTTCCATATATTCGCTCTATATGAAAAATAATCGATTAATATTATTTACTATATTAATAAAAAGATAATTAACCATTTGCCTCATATCCTAAAGAATTATAATTAGAATAATCTTCTGGAAGATCCCAGATGTTTTTGATGTTGTAAATTTGTGGGTGTAGTAGAGTACTAGTAGGTAT